CCAAGAAGGGGAGCAAACATATTAAGAACAGTATGCCATATACGCCAGGTCCCTTGAAACATATGCTGTGCAGATGTTTCTTCCCTGCAGCAACTGTGTCAAGCAGCAAGGATGGACTAGCTTCTGGCAAAAGAGGACCACACCAAGACATATCATAATTAAAATGCCAAGAGCTAAAGACAAAGAGAGACTCGTTTGTTGTTTTTTTTGGATATGACCTTTATTGAGCTTATCCACCAGAGTGGAAATAATGTCTGTACAAAACAAAATGTTTGTTACTATAACTTCTGCATCACAATTAAAATCCAACAGTTTTTTAAAAAACAGTCAACTCAATCAAAACCCACTACTTCAGAATCAATAGCTTCTTTGCAGCCACAGTAACACTTAAATATGGTTAAGACTCGAATGCAGAAATTTGGTTGGTTGGAAAGCTAATTAAACTTCCAACTTGCTCAAATAGAATTACAAAAAGGCAAAATTGTGTTTTTCACAGAGATACAGTCCACTGGAATCACCAACACTGGACAGCTGTTAGAGTATTTAGAGTCCTGAGATAATAAGAAATCCAGGCATCCTTTAGACAGTCTTCTGTTGTCCTTTCTTCCCAATCAGAGATTTGTGGATGTGTGGAATAACACCACCACCAGCAATTGTACCCTTGATGAGAGAATCCAATTCTTCATCTCCACGAATAGCAAGTTGCAAATGACGAGGGGTAATACGCTTTACCTTTAAGTCTTTTGATGCATTGCCTGCCAATTCAAGTACCTATAAGGCAAAGACTCATCAATTTTCTTCCAGCTGTTTCTTTAGGCCAAGATCCAGAGCAGAACAAACCTTCATGAACATACATCTAGCAATTGCCTCCCTCCCCTCCCCTCCCCTACCTGAATGTCAAAATGGCATAAGCTGTAAAAAGGGGGCACGCAATTTTATTTCCCAGAGCAGCTCAAGATCAGCAGGATCGCTCAATGACCACCAGCTCCCTCTAGCGTTCCCAGAGGCTTCTCGCCGCGTTCGGGGCCTGGGAGTTTTCTTGCATCACTTTCCTCCTTCCCTCTCGCCACCTACCGCACCCCCTCCCCCCGCCCGCCCGCAAACCATTCCCAGATTACAGGCGTGCACCCCTTTACCTCTGCGGTGAGGTACTCCAGAATGGCTGCGCTGTACACAGCAGCGGTCGCGCCTACGCGTCCATGGCTGGTCGTCCTAGATTTCAGGTGTCGATGAATACGGCCCACCGGAAACTTAATTTTAAGCAAAAACAAATGCACAAAGATATGAATCAAAGATGACACAATCAGACGCGCGCCAAAGCAAGGAGCAAGGA